CTTTTAGATGCATGAAATTATCAGGTGTACAGGACACTCAGGTGGACCTTCTCATTGATACTGGTAGGATCACTGGATTTAGAGCTGGGAGGGTCCTCAGAGACCACCTTGTTCAATCCCTTTCATCTATAGGGGTGCAACTGGGGATATCTCTAGACATCTGTCCTTGATAAAACTTTCAGGATCTTTGCAAATTCCCAGAGGAAGAAAGAGAGAGCAGAATTAGAAGCCACAAGAGCTTTTAGAAAGAGTCAGAGAACATTCCTGATAAGAGTGCAAAGGACCCTACAGACTTGTAACTCAAGATTTCAGTTCCTGGTCAGGGTCTGCTGTGAAGTCACTAGATGTTAGGCAAATCACTGCCCCTCCAGTTCCGAAAAATAGGAAGGGAATAAGCATTTATATAGAGCCAACTATGTTCCAGGCACTTGAGTTAGGCGTTTGTTTTTTTTTACAAGTATTATCTCATTTGATCCTCATAATAATTTTGAGAGGTAGGTGCTCTTATTATCTCCATTTGAAGAAACTGAGGCAGACAGAAATTAAATAACTTGCCTAGGATCATGAAGTTAGTAAGTATCTGAGGCTGAATTTGAACTCAGGTCTTCCTGACTCTAGGCCAGGAACTCTATCCACTGCACCACCTAGTTGCCTGTGGGAATGATACCCGCATAGGAATATGGGATTCATGATACCTACATTATTTACGGCTTGGGATCGTTGTGCAGTTCAAAAGAGATAATGTATGCAAAATTCTTTGCAGCCTTTAAAGCACTGTATAAATGACAGCTATTGTTTATTAATGCAATTAATTAGTTAATTAATTCATTAATTTCTCTGGTCCCATCTGGCCCTGACATACTGCATTCCCTGTTCTCTCCTAGCTCTAACAGTTTCTCTCTTATGTCCTAAGGGCCTTTCCAGCTTTGATGTTCTGTGTTCTGAGGTCTAAGGGAGGCCCCTTCCAGCCCTGACATTCTATGGTTCTTGACGTGTTCCAATTCAAAGGATCAGAGCTAGAATTGTTCTTCTGGGGAAGAGAAGCCAATGTCACTGTCTGGCAGTCCCATTCTACAGTCCCATCAAGTAGGAAGCTGATAGGCCTCTTATTTCTGGGGTCAAAGGTAGCATGTGGTTATGACTGATGCTGTGGCTGATTAAACCACAGTTTTGTGACTGCCTGCCTATAAAAGTCCTTCCGGTATCTAACTTGCTTAGTTGGGGACAAAATGAAACTCTTGGTGATGCCGCCTAAGAGCCTGTTTGCTTAAGAAACCTTAGTCATCACCCTTGGGCTGATTGGGGCTGGCCTTTAATAGATGCTGATTTGCTGACCTGTGCAAGGTGGGTAGAATTACTGTAGTACATGGTAGTACCTCCTGAACAGAAGCATGGGGACTGCTGCCTCAGTTCCTAAGTCACCTTCCAGCCTTCTTTCTGTCTCCTGGGGCGGTGGATGGTGCTGATGACAGAACATCTCTGATACTGAACTTGGGGAGGGAGACAGTCTGTCTTCAGATTGCCCTACAGGAATGCCAATGGGCTATGCACCTTGTAAGGACACTAGACTGGAACACCTTTGGGGGCTGGGGGGAAGGTGAGTAGGGTTTAGCTGATGCAACGGGGTATCCAGCCTGAAGCTAAACCTGCCTCAGCTTGAGGTGGGACCACCACCACCACCACCACCACCACCACCACTAATGCTATAGTGACTAGAGAGCTAGCCCTCAAACCAGGAATGATGATGATAATAAGAATAACAGCTAATATTTATATAGCACTTCCTATGTGCCAGGCACTGAACTAGGCACTTCTTTAAACATCTTATTGGGTCCTCACAACGACCCTGGGAGGTAGACACCATTTTTATCCTCATTTTACAGAGAAGGAAACTGAGGCAAATGGGTTAACTGACTTGCCCAGGGTCACATAGCTAGTAAGTGTCTGAGGCTGGATTTGAACTCAGGTCATCCTGACTCCAGACCTGGCCCTCTACCCACTGTGCTACCTAGCTGGGTTCTAGTACTGCCTCTAATTGGTACTGCCTGTGTAACCTTAGGCAAGTGGCTTAATCTCTCAGTACTCTGGGCAAATCTCTATGACTATAAATTGCAGAGGGAATGTCCCTATCTCCACAAATACTAATGAAAGCTCACATTTTTTTTCTTTTTTGCTTAGGCAGTTGGGGTTAAGTGACTTGCCCAAGGTCACACAGCTAGTAAGTGCCAAGTGTTTGGTCTGAGGCCGGATTTGAACTCAGGTCCTCCTGACTTCAGGGCCGGTGCTCTATCCATTGCACCACTCAGCTGCCCCGAGAGCTCACATTTATACAGGGCTCAGGCATGTTAGGGGGATTCTGAGTGCAGAAGGGACAGAATGACATGGGGAACAGAATTACAGAGGATGTGGTTTGCCTTGGTGGAGGAAGTAGAGGAGGCAGAGTGGGAAGAGGGGAAGGAGGGAGGGAATGAGCATTTATTAAGCACGTACTATTTGCCAGGCACTATGCTAAGTGCTTGACAAACATTATCTCATTTACTATACAGGATCTGGAGGAGGAGGCCATGGCTTAGAATCCCAGCCCTGCTTTTACTACTGTCTATGTAGCCTTGGACAAGTATTTTCGCCTCTCTGAGCCCCTCAAGGGAACTCTAGTTCCCTTATCTGTAAAATCAGAGGGTTTGACTGGATCACTTCTAAGGCACCTTTCAGCTCTGAAGTCCTGTGACCCTCGCTGAGCCAATAAACCGTGGGCCCATAAGATGTCCCGGGAAAGAACGTAGTGCTTTTCAATTTGCAAAGTTCTTTCCTTGCAAGAACCGTTCAAAGCAGGACATGATGAGAAAATTCACAGGGGACAGGACACTTTCCTCTCGACAGTCTTGTGAGATAGAATGTGAATCTCCCTTTTATAGGAGACTGAATTCCTCAGTGAGGTCAAGTGACTTGCCCAAGGCCACACAGATGAGGTAGAGCTTGCACCAAAGTCTCCTGATTCGTGTTCACTCTCTGGAGCAGCTTGATATTGCAAAGATTCATAGAAATGACCCCAGAGGCAGAGGCGCTACTCGTGTTCCTGGGTTCCTGACATTCTAGACCCTCCAGCATCTGACTTCAGCTTACCGCTTCTCTTCAGGTACAAGATGCTGCAATCCAACTGGACCACTTGGGATCCCTGGTGCATGCCCCCAGCTGTCCTGGCTCCTTAGGCATCTTTACCTACACTGACCCCCTACCCCCAAGAGTTCCATCTGCTAAATTCCAGCTCAACCCTCAAGATCCAGCTTGAGACCTTTTCTAAAGTTTTCCTCTGATGCCTCACCACAATGTGGGGGGAACCCTGGGCTCTCAAAGGCTGCGGGAGTGCCTATAAGCTCTGGTTGGTTCAGGAATGGATCATTATATCTGTCAACCCAGGAGCATTCTTGATAAGGCTCTGATAAGTTTCCTGGGGCTCTCCACCAAGGATAGGTGGTTTTTTGTTTGTTTATTTTGGCCTCAATAAGTCATAAAGATTGTCTACTACCAGTATTGTATCATATCATATTATATATCATATAGTATTGTCTACTATGATATGAAGGGCTGGGATCTGCACACCCACCCAGATGGGATTACTGATGGTTGAAAGGACTCAAATGAGTTCTACTCACCTCCCAGGGAAGTACTGTGACAATACTAATGAGATACCGGACAGGGAAGTGCTTTGTAAATCAGTAACATTGATGTTTGAATAGGGCCTCTCCTACAGTGAGGACTACTGCTAGATAAGCTTCCCCTTTGGACCTCATAGAGCCTTATGTTTTACACCTCTGGTGCACCTATCATCTAATACTCTATGTTATAGCCATCTGTGTCTGGGTCTTAGGCAGTCAGTCAATCAACCTTTATTGCTAGGGGTATAAAAAGAGGCAAAAGACAGTCCCTGGCCTCAAGGAGCTTTACAAACTAAGACAACAAGCAAACAAATAGGTACAAACAAACTACAGGATAAAAATACAAACAATACACAGGATAAATAGGAAATAATTAAGAGAGGAAAGGCGTTGGAATTAAGGAATTGGGAAAGGTTTCCTGTAGAAGGTCAGGTTTTAGATGGGACTTAAAGGAAGCCAGGGAGGCCAGTAGGCAGTGATGAGGAGGGAGAGTGTTTCACCCATGAGGGATAACCAGGGAAAATGTCTGAAGTTGAGAGATGGAGGGTCTTGTTAGTGGAACAAGAAGGATGACAGTGCCACTGGAGTGAAGCGTATGCGATGAGGAGTAAGGTGTTAAGATGACTGGAACGACAGGAGGAGACTAAGTTAAGAAGGACTTTGAATTTCAAACAGAAGATTTTGTATTTGGTCCTGGAGGTGCTAGGGAGTCACTGGAGTTCAATGAGGAGGGGCTGACATGGTCAGACCTGGGTTTTAGGAAGATCACTTTGGCGGCTTAACGGAGGATGGATTAGAGTGGGGAGAGACTTAAGGCAGGCAGACCCGCCCTTGGCTATTGTAGTAGTCTTGCAGGGAGGTGATGAGACCTTGCACCAGGGTAAGGGCAGTGTCAGAGGAGAGAAGGGGACACATCCCTCTGCTGGGATGTCAGGGTCATGGGGACAGAGCTCACGTCCTCCATGCCTCATCTAAACTTGGCATCTTAAATGTTTCTTAAATGAATGACTGAATGAATGGTTTTGAGTCCCCTCACTATCCTATTTTTCCTCCTCTGGATGCACTCTCATTTATCAACGTCCTTCCTAAAAGGTAGTGCCCAGAATTGGAAACAATGGTTTAGATCTGGTCTGACAAGGCCAGAGGACAGTGGGACGATTGTGTCCCCTTGTCCCGTTAGAGACGGTCAGTTGTCTAGCCTAAGATCTCGGCTTTTTTAGCTGCCATGCCATACTGGTGAGTTGTCTTGAGCTTGTGGTCACCTAAGATCCCTGCTTCCCCCCAAACCTTCCCCTCACCAATCTGTCTCGTGGACACCACTGTATTCTTCTCCTGGGTACTAACTTTAATGCTGCTGCTCTCCCACAGGCTTCTCGGCACATAGCAATCTGTTCAGCCTTTTCCAGAAGCTTATTCATCTTAGCTTGCTTTTCCCGGATGATCTGGTCCCGCTTCTCTTCTTCATCTCGTTTCTGCTGTTGCTTCAGCAACAGCAGTCGCTCCTGAAGTTCTACCAAGGACATTTCCCCAATGAGACCATGACCAGCATCCTAGAGAGAGCAAGCAATGGAATAATTAGGATGGAGATGTCCTACTGCAAGATGGTGGAGGCTGATTTTTTTTTTTAATGGCATAAAACATATGATCATAAAAAACTGTGTATAAGATATTGGGATGCCTCCTTAAAGTAACTGAAAAATTGCTGTCATCCAAATATTATGGTGAGATGGCCCTCTTTCCTTTGTGGGAATCATAGGCATGTAAGATTTCACAGAACTTTAGAGTTAACAATAATCCCTGCATTTTACAGAGGTGTAAACTGAGGGCCACAAAGGTTAAATGACTTGCCCAACATCACGTCATAACTTAAGAGTATGGCTGGTTAAATGGGAAGACCACCAGACTTGGAGTCAAGGAGATCTGAGCTTGAGTTCCAGTCCCAACACACTTACTAGCTTTGTGACCATGAGTAAGTTACTTCCCCTTTCTTAGTTTCAGTTTTCTTACCTAAAAAAATGGAGGTCGTAATTCTCATACTTCCCACCTCACAAGGTTGTGGGGAAAGCACTCAGGTCAAAAGAAATGCGACTTACTTTGATAGGTTAATGATTTCGCCTGTGTGAATACTCCCTTCATGCTCACTGGCAGGTAGTTTCATGAGTCTCTTTGGCTGAACCAGTTCCTTCTCTGGTGGCCAACCAGAGACTATGATGAGCTTTGCCACACTTAGCTAGGCTGGTCCTCAGACAGCTCACAGTCAGTTGCTAGGTTCATACTTCAAGCTTTCCTAGCTTGAAGCAAAGATCTGCCAGAGGTTATACTTTGTTGGTAAAGTGTTTGGGAACTCGGCCGTCTCCATGCCACGATTGTAGAGGGTCACAGATTTAGAGCTGGAAGGGACCTTGGAGATTTTATAGATGAGAAAACTGAGGCTCAGAGAGTATAACTGACTTGCTCAAGGTCATATGAGACTGTAAGAGGAAAACCTGGGATCTAAAACCAGGTCTTCTGACTCCCAAATCAGGTGCTCTTTACACTGTACCTTGCTGACTCTTTGGGGGAGGGATTTGTTGGAGGACTATGTGAGTTATCGTTGGTGTCAGGGATGGGACTAGAATCTAGGTCTCTTGAATCTCAGTTAAATTCTCTTTCTCCATATTATATAGTTCTAGTATATATGTAAAATGTCCTTATACCCCAACCCTAAATTCCCTTGGCCATCCCTGAATGATAAATCATCAAGAAAAGTATAAAGAAGTGGTAACCTAAGGCAAAGGATGGATTTTGCTGTCATTGCTGCTGTTTATTAGAGACCATCTTTATTGGGGAGGAAGAGAAGTTATTTGATTGTGGAATAGGAGAGAGAGGGAGTGTGGTCTTTCAGGGTCAGTAACTTTGGTGATAGGCCCTAGGATCCTGAGGGGAGGTATAGCTTCCACATCCCCCACAGGAGTCGGCTGCAGCATCCCACCCTCCCCAGATTTCTGCTCCCAGGGAGAAAAGAATAAATAGCTTCCTTTACTTCTCATCTTGTCTCTTCCTCTGAGGGGCAGATAGGAATCCCAGGGAAAAGGAATAACAGGAGTAGCCAGGGCCATGGGTGGGTACAAGCTCCCTGTCTGGGCTATTGGGAGCTGGGTGGTTTGTAGGGCTCCAACAGGAGGCTTAGAGGTGCTGGCCTCACCATTGCGTTGTCCTTCATGGGGCAGTAGCAGCAGCTTCCTGATGCAAAAGTGTCCATCTAGTTCCTCTGTCTGTCTGAGGTATTTGGACTGTATCTTGTGCTGGGCCTTGCACATTTTATAGGGCTTCTCAGGCTCAAGCAACACCATCTGGTAGATGAGGATGATGTTATGTGTTTAATCTTGCATTTGGCCAGCTCTTGGATGGGCCTTTCAGTCTCATACAGGGACTAGAACTCAACAATACACATGCAAATGTTTTGGATCCTTGAACTGCCTCTATGACAAGTAGCATCTCTTTTAGTTTGGAGGCCAGCTGATTAACATTCATATGACTTTGGCAGCTATATGGAGAATAGTTTGGAGAGGGGAAGAGCCTGGGATAGGGAGATCATTTGGGATGATAAATTGTGATAGTCCAAACAAAAGGTGGTAGGAATGTGAACTGGTGTAAGTAAAGAGAAGGGGATAGATGCCAAAGGAATTGTGGCAGTAAAATTGACAAGACTTGGCAACCAATCGGCCGTGGGGAGTAAGAGAGAATAGAGAGCCAAGGACGACTTGGGGATTTTAAGCCTGGCTAACTAGACACAGTGGTGTCATTGACAGAAATAGTGGAATGAGAGGAAATGATGACTTCTATGTTGAACATGTCGAATTTGACATGCTCACAGCTGAGAATGTCTAATAGACCATTAGTGATCAATTAATGATGCAGGGCCATTGCTTAGGAGAGAGACTAGTGCTGGATATAAAGATCTGATTACCTTTTGCATAGAGATGATAATTGAATTCACAGGGGCTGATGATCACCAAGACAGAGAGTGCACAGAGAGAAGTGGGCTCAGGACAGTCCCTTGGGGCACACCCACAGTTAGCAAAGATGACATGGATGGTGGTCCGTCAAAAGAAACTAAGAAAGAACATCCAGAAAGTTAGGAGAAAAACCATGAGGGAGCAATGTCATGACAATGCAGAAAGGAGAGAAGGTCCAGGAGGAGGGGGTAGTCAGTAGGATCAAATACTACAGAGAGGTCATAAAGGATGGAGACTGAGAAAAGGTCATTGAATTTGGCAATTAAGAGATTGTTGGTAGCTGGAAGAGTGTAGTTTTGACTGAGTGGTGAGGTTAGAAGCTCGATTACATGGGTTGAGAAGTGAGAAATAAAAGAAGCAAAGAGTATAGACATTTTTTTCAAGGAGTTTGAGAATGGAAGGAGGGATAAAAGAGGATAGTTTGAGGGGATGGCAGGGTCTAGTAAGAGTTTTTTAAATGGGGGAGAGATAGAATCTGGGGGGAAAGGGGCCACCTAGATGTGGCTCATTGCTCCTTTCCTCCTGTTTCCCTTTGCTATGAGGAAACAGATGACCACAATTGCATACTAGGGTGGGGGAGGGCAATTAAGAGCATCAGGATAAATAGTTCCTCTCTTTATATAAGTTAACTGGTAGTTTGAAAAATTCGTTTGGGAGGAGTGACTAGAAAAGGGTATGATCTGGTTGTGTCTAAGGAGTGAAAGATTAGATTAGACACTGAGAGAATGGTGGGAGGGGAGATGCTACAATTGCCCACGAATGGGGGGGGGGGAGGCAGTTGTTTCTTGTGATTAGTGGGGCAGCCAGTGTACTCTGCTCAGAGTAATCTTGAGCCAAGAGTTTAGCAGTCAAGTCTTAGAGCTCTGCAAAGGGTGCTACCCACCTCCCCACAATGTGTTGACAGGGGAGAAGAAGTGTCTTCCAGGGTATTACTTGTTATATTTGTTTCACCATCTCAAACTTGGTCATGTTCCCACTCCCAACCTATCTCCATCTGAAACAAAAACCAGGAAGAGCTCAGCAGCCCACAACGTAGATAGGCTGGGTTGAAGAGAATCTGAATTTATAGCCTTTGACACAAAACCACCATGCTGCTATATGATATGTACTGTGTGGGACAGGGGCACCCCTCCCAGATCACAAATCAATCCCCCAAGCCCCATATCCTACTTCAGATCAGCTCTGACCCCAAGTTCCAAATGCACTGTCAGGGATCCTAAGTTCTACGCTCACACTAACTTGCACTGACTGAAAGGGAAGGGAAAAAATTCGCTACACAGCTGCACCAAGGTACCCTAAAGAGTATTTCCAGGGGCAGCTAGGTGGCGCAGTGGATAGAGCACCAGCCCTGAAGTCAGGAGGACCTGAGTTCAAATCCGGCCTCAGACCAAACACTTGATACGTACTAGCTGTGTGACCTTGGGCAAGTCACTTAACCCCAATTGCCTACCAAAAACAAAACAAAAAAACAAAACAAAACAAAAAACAAAAAAAAACAAACAAAAAAAGAGTATTTCCAATGAAGGAAGAAGAATGCAGTAGGGAGACCCAGAAATCATAGCAGAGGAAATCCAAGAAAGGAGCCTGCAATAACAATGGTGGTGGATCACAAGGCAAACTAGCAAGGTGAGTTAGAGCTCCTAATGGAAGAAGGAAGAGTTGACCCAGTTATCAGACTTTACTATGGTGAGGTACATAACTAGAATATACCACATTCAAAAGGAATAGGAGAGTCAAAGGACAAGGAGGGGGGGACACAACAGAGTAGTATTGTATATGCAGAAAATATCCTCGATATGAGGAAATTCAGGAAGGAGAGTGGAGAAGAATGCTGGAGATCATTTGGGTGAAGGTTAATAGGGGCAGGAAGAGATAGGGTATGGATATGGAATTTGGGAAAGAGATCACAAGCCTGGCCAAGAGATATTATTTATTATTAATGTGGGTCTTCATTTTTCTGGACATCTGCTGAAACTGTCTAACTTGTCTTAATAATGAGTTAATTCTTGAAAAGGAAGAGGATCTAAGAAGGAGAAATTCTGTTATGGGACTGATTCTAACCAACAAGGAAGAACTGGTTGCTAGTGAGGAAATGAGGGATTCTTTAGAAGAAACTAGGTGGGAAGTGACCCACTTAGAATTTGGGATGGAGGAAGAAAGAAAGCCTGGACATTCACCCTCTATTTTGGAAGAGTTGGCTTCAAAGGTTTAGAGAAAGGTTAAAATTTTAGGGGGGATGTCAGACTAGGAAAATGGCTCATAGGGAGTTGATACCAAAAATGAGGAGGGTGATAATTAGATGGTATCTAGCGATCCTTGATGAGTTCAAGTTACCAGGCCTAGATGAATTATATCACATATGCTGAAAAAACTGGCAGAAATAATTGCAGAATCACTGTGAGTGATCTTTGGAATATGGAAAAAGAGGTGCTATGGGAATGGAGAAGAACAAATGTCCTGATTTTCAAAAAAGTGAAGAGAATGGAGTCTATCAACTATAGTCCAATGAATCTGACTCCAATTACTGGCAAACTTCTAGAACACATTTTCTGGAAGATAACCATTCCATAGGGATGACTAGTGAAGATCTAGAAAAGGAAGTATTGATCACAAAGAATCAATATGGCTTCATCAAGAGCTGGTCATGGTAGATAAACTTTATTTTCTTATTTTTTTCAGGCTAAATAGACTGGCATATTTTAGAAATGCTATAGATATTGTTCAGATTTTAACAAAGCATTTGACAAAGTTTTCATGTTATTCTTTTAGAAAATATGAAGGGATATGGGCTATATGAGAGTATAACTAGAAAGATCTGGAACTGGTTGAATAACTGGATCTAAAGAGTAGTCATTAATAGTTCAATGTCAGCCCTGAAGGGGGTCTCTAGGAGAGTAGCTGCTGGATGTATGCTTGGCCAAATCTAATAAAATAACATTTAATAAGGATAAATGTAAATTATACCTGGGTTAAAAATATCAACTCCATAGGTAGTAAGGTGGGGGAGGTGTTGTTAGAATGTAGTTTGTCTGGAAAAGATCTGGGGTTCCTACATTGGCCTACGAGGCCAATATGAGTCAGCAAAATAATAGGATGGTGCAAATGTAGTCTTATGCTGTATTAGGAGAAACATAGAGCCAGGGAAGTAAGAGTCCCATTGTTTTCTGTCCTAATCAGAGCACATTAGTTGAAGAAATTGGGGATGAGCAGCCAAAGTAGAGAATACTTTGAGGGGCCATGGGAGTTGTTTTCCAGGAGTTGAAGTGATTACTTATGAAAGAAGGATAAGACTTTTTTTCTTGACCCTGGAACGTACAACCAATGCAACTTCCAATGCTTGGAAGTTGCAAAGAGACCAATTTTGGCTCGTTGTAAGGAAAAACTTCCTAACAATTGGAGTTAACACAGGATGCATTGCGTTGTAAGGTACTAGGTTGCCCTGTCATTGGAGGTCTTCAAGAAAAGTTTTGAAGACTTTGGAGATTCTTGTTTGGATATGATTGGACCAGATGGCATCTGAAGTTCCTTAAAACTAAGAGTCCTCTCTGACATCCTCTCTGACCAATCCCAAACACATAACCCTCGAAATCCTGGCTTCAAACTCATTCCCAGAATATCCCTCCTTCTCACTTTCTATTCTTACTCCAATGGGGTAATTGAAACACTTTCTCACTGCAATTGCTGACTACTTCCACCAACTGACAATCCCTTAGGACATTTTCTTGTTCTTAAATATTTCTTTTCTCCACCCTCATCTTGTGGAATTGCAGACAATATACTTCCCCTTGCAGCCTCCCAAATGTAATCTCTTCTAAGTAGACCTTGGGCTCTCACAATTAACCCTCTCCCCATGCAAACTCATTCAGCCAGCACAAATGCTAGGTCCTCTGTCCTTTTTCCAACCTCTGAAACTTCCTGATGCTCTTAAGTAGGCTCTGGGAATAGTGGGCAGCTCTGGGCTCCCAACCCCAGGTGCATAGCTATTCCTGCTGCCCAGAATGGCCCTAACCTTCTCAATCTCTGACATCTAGTCTGAGATCACGAGTTTTGGAAGGAAGCAGATGAACTAGGCTCCTGACTAGGCCAAGTCAGCTTTTGTAGGAGAGCAGCTCTGAGATGCCCTCACTTTTCTGCACTCCTTATGCACGACACTCAGAAAATAAGTCAGAAATCTCCCTTCTAAGAGTCTTTCCTAGGGAGCTGATATGATACAGAAAGTTTCGAGATCAGGACAGCATCAACTGCATCAGACTACATCAACAATGGGGAAACTAAGTCAAGATCTGAACAATCAGTATCTTCTTTAAACAATCAAACCGGCTTCAAGAATTGCATAGTGATATGCTCCAGGTAAACCAAACCAGACAAAGAAAAACAGGACAGGGTTGAAGCAAAGGAAGGGAATTAGATCTAAGGTTACCCAGGAGCTGTATCAGCCAAACCACTTGGTGGCTAGACTTTAGTTATTTTAGTCCTTGTGAAGTCAAGGGCTGTCTCACTTTACTTCTCTACACAATAAGCATTTAGTGTATGTTGAAGTGGATTAAATTTTGCACTGGAAACTGTAAGACATCATTTTCTATATTTTTGATGATTTTCTTTTTGTTCCTCTTAGTTGATTGTTTTTTTTTTTAAAGTAAAATTTCCTTCTGAAAAAACAAAACAAAAACAAAAACTCTTATCTCTTGCTAAATTATGGGGGAAGTGGATTTGCCCCTCTTGGAAAATACAGACAGGTTATCAGTACATGCCTACTAGTCTGGCTTGGTGGCAACTGCGACCATCTCAGCTTTAAAGCCAAGGAAGAACTGCCAAGGTCAGTCAGTCAACAAGCATTTATTAAACCCTTAATGTGTGTCAGGCATTGTGCTAAGTGCTGAGAATATGATGAAAGGCAAAAACAGTCCATGTCCTTGAGGAACTTACATTCTAATGTGGGAGACAACAAGCAAACAACCATGTTGTTGTTCAGTCATTCAGTTGGTTCCAATGCTTCGTGACACCATGGACAAGGCTCTTCTATCCTCCACTCTCCCAAAGTCTGACCAAGCTCATGTTTGTTGTTCCCATGACACTCTATCCATCTCATCCTCTGCCATTCCCTTCCCTTCGGCTTTTGCCTTCAATCTTTCCCAACATCAGGGTCTTTTCCGATGAGTCCTGTCTTCTCATTATGTAGCAAAGTATTTAAGCTTAAGCTTAAAACAACTATGTACATACAAGCTATATACAGGGTAAATTGGAAGTAATCTCAAAATGAAGCCAGGAGATGGAAATGAGGAGGGAGGGCATTCCGGGCATGAGGCATAGTCAGTGAAAAAGCCTGGAGTTGGTAGATGGAACATAGTGTGGGAGAAACAGCAAGGCCAAGTGTTATTAGATTGTAGAATACTTGGACAGGATTAAGTATGAGAAGTATGAAAAGACTGGAAAGATAGGAGTGGGCCAGATTTTAAAGGGCATCTTGAACTCCTTTGCTCAGTGGAATACATTATTCCATTTTCTACTGTGTTTTCGGGTAAGTGCAGAATAGTCTTGTGCTATCCAAAAGTCTTTTCCTTTATACAGGGTGTCCCCAAAGTCTTAGCACAGTATTAATTTTTTAATAGATTAAAATTAAAATTAAAAGTAGCTTAAGCACTAAGACTTTTAGATTACCCTGTTTTGAAGGCTGTTCTCCTGGTGACTTGCAGAGTTTATTGTTTGTCATTGGCACTGTTAAATTTAACCACTATGTATCTCGAATTTGTAGCATAGGGATTTCTTTGTCTTAAACCCCAAGGGGTGATCTGTGCATTCTTTTGATTGGCATGTGTTCTGAAGTTCTAGACAGTTTTCCTTTATTATTTCTTACAATATAGCATTCAGGTTTTTTAACTTGTCATGTTTTCTAAAGAGACTTGTAATTCTTAGGTTGCCTCTATGCATCTTGTCTTTGCAATCAATATGTTTTGCATGTTATATATAGTTTTCTTTTAATTTTTTTTTTTACTTCTCTTCTTTCAAATTGTCCTTTACTTCTGTCTATTTTTTGTTCCCAGTCAGTCCTCTCTTTCATTTCTGGATGCCAATTCCCTTTCCTTCAGGCCTAGTGGAACATCCTCCACCCTGTGGGGGATACACACTGCCAGCTTATCCCAGTTCCTTCTGTTCCTTAATTCTCTGGCTGACCACAGTGAATTACAACTCTATCACCCAAGGCAAGACAAGCTTCTCCCTTTCCTGTACTCCCCCCCTTCTCCACATGTGAGGGAGGGGGGCAGAGTTGAGTACTGTTGCTTGTTGCCACCAAATGGTGGGGTAAGGGCAAGAGCAAGGGTGGGGTTAGCTTGTAGAGACCGCAGCAGCAGCAGCAAGAGAATTGCTGAGTGGAGGATGCAAGAGCACAAACTTTTGGGTCAGATTGGGCTACCCTGTTTAAGTATGGGGGCCAGTAGGGGAGTAGGTGCTGAGTGCATAAATTAGGGAATAGCCTTCTCTGCTGTTGGTTCATTGGGTTGTTACCTCATTGGGGTTCTTGGTGTCTTAGCCCATGGAAGTAGCTACAATTGCTTTGCCTCTTGTGCACGGTTCTTATTTCAGAGGGGTAAGAGGTCATGTGTATCAGAGAAAAGGTCTAGTCTTCCATTGTGTTAGCCATGGAACCCAGAAATCAGGAGGAATGTTTTGTGGTACCACTTTAATTTTGAATCTTGAATCCAGCCTACTTTTGCATAATAAACTCTCAATGTACTTTACATTACATCCAAACTGGACAATTAACTATTCCCTGAAGATTTTCTATCCTTTCTTGCCTCCACAGATTCAGGCAGGCCATACTCCATGCATGGAACACATTCCCCCCTCATCTCCAACTGGGGAAATATTTATCTTCCTTTAAGGCCCTTCTACCTCAGATATCACCTCCTCTATGGAACTCCCCTGGATTTCCCCCAGCTAAAGACCAATGAGTAGTCTTTCCTCATTCTAATTCTGCTAGAGCACTTTGTCTGGATCTTTCCTTTTACCCTACAATGTTCTATTTATACATATATGTGTGTATATATGTATATACATATATGTGTGTATATATACACACATATATATGTACACCATGTATATGCTGTATTCCATATAAATTCCTTGGGGACAGGGACTCTATTATTTTTTATCCTGTCTTGTACAGTGGAAATACTTAATAAATATTTATTGGATTAAGTGGAATTAATCTTCATTATTAAAAGAAATATTATTGTACAAATATGAGCTACTCTAGATAGACTTACCTTGGTAAAGTCAATAAACTGGTACTTTATCACAGGAAGAGACTCAATTGATCGGAGTTCATGGATCCGTTCCCGTTTTCTCTTGTTATCTTCATTGACAGTCTCCAGCCTCTTCTCATGTAGTTGCTTGATCTCCTGAGCCACTTCCTGGGCTTAGGGGGGAAAACAATTGATTTTCCATGCTAGAGAACATTGTGTAAGGTATACACACACACACACACACACACACACACATATATGGCAGGGTATGTGGAAGACCCAGGCAGGTAGGAGTGACTGCACAAGATAGCGTCTTTCATCTACCGGTCTCCTGAGCCTCCCAAGTAAAATTAGTACAAGTTAGTACGAGGATTACTATTCCCTGTGCTGGCTCCCTGCTCCTTCTGCTCCTGACTTCAGACTTCAAAGCCATGCCTCAGCTGCTGTCTCATCCTGAAATTTTCTTTAATGCCCTAGGGCCTTCTTGCTGTGGTATATACCTTTGCCAGGCCAGTTGCCTTTTCCCATTGATGAATTCCTTCTAGACCTCCATTTTGTGGGATGAGGGTGGGAGGGAGCAGGCTAGCCAATCAGCTTTCCCCTCCTGGCCCTGCTTCTAATTTTCTGGACTTCAAAACCATGCCTCTGCATTGGGTATCTTAATTCCTTCCCCACTGCTCCACTTTGTTTTTTAGCTTTCTTTTGTGCATGGTCTCCTCTCATTAAAATCTTCTTTCCTTCTTTCCTTCCTTCCTTCCTTCCTTCCCACTCTTTTTCTCCCTCCTTCTCTTCTTCCTTCCTCCCTTCCTTCTTCTTCCTCCCTCCCTTCCTTTTTCCTCCCTCATCTGCCTTCTTTCTTCTTCCCTCCTTCCCCCCTTTCCTTCTACTTTATAGATGAGGAACTAAGGAACACAGAACAGGTGACCAATGTCGCCCAGCAAGGTAGTGCTGAAGCCAGGCATTGACAGGGATACACCAAACAGTGAGGCAGACAAGATCCGTGGTGGACTCTCCCTTCATTCCTGTACTGTATAGGCTCCTGGCTGCTCCTGACTTCAAAACCATGTCTCAGCTGCTGTCTCATCCTGAAATTTTCCTCAATGGATGACACATTTACACCTAGAAGGGTGTAGGATTACACCTAGGAGGATCATCTGCTCCAATTTTCCCACTTTACAGATAGATAAACTGAGGCCCATGGAGATGAACGTTCTTACTCAAAGCTACACAGCAAATAAAGTGGCAGAGCTGGGATTTGAACTCAAGTCCCCTAACCCCTAACTCCAAATCCAGTGCTCTTTCCACTAAACAAGGTTGTCTAGACAGGAATGAGTTTCTAACCTTGACTTTCCCTCCTCCCACCCTGACATACCACCACCCCGACATACCACCACCCCACCCCAACCATTTTTTTCTCCTATGGCCACAATATTGAACATTTCTAAGTCCCCCCACCCCTAGTCTGGTCCCCTAATACCCAATTGCTGCTTGGTTTTCCGCAGCTTCGCTTGGACAGTCTTCACATTTTTGTGTCCCTCTGTCACTTGGTCAATAATTTTTTTCCTTTTCTTTTTTTCTTTAAGGCACTGCTTCATGTATTCGTTCTTCAGCTTTGCTATCTACTTCCCACAATGTCACCAAAGTGGGGGGGGGGAGAAGGAGAAAGAAAGAGAGAGAGAGAGAGAGAGAAGAAAAATGAGAGAAAAATAAAACAAACATGTCAATGTGACAGTAAAGCACAAGCTCCTGAACCTGAGAATTTACAGGTGAAATAGAACAGAGATCTCACCCAGTTTGATGCTCCCCATTTCACATGATGGCTTCCTCTCTGCCTCTCTGTTCTTAATTAATGGCCAACTAACCAAAGCCCCACAGGGAGAGGGCTCACTTTCCTCCTGAGCCCATGGCTAGGCAGTGGTTGGGTTCTGGAGGGGTCAGTAACTGGGTGGCCTTGGGCAAATCATGGAACTTTCCTGGGCTTCATTTTCCCCATTTGTAAGAAAGAACAAAGTCGGATTAGATGGTCTCTAAGGTCCCTTGAAGCTCTAAATTCCACAATCCCTTGACTGCTCAACACTTCACACTCAGGTGCCCCTTTCACTAGACAGTAGACCAATTTAGAATTTAGTTCACCAAAGGGAGAGAAGGCACTGACAGATCTCCACGGACTTAAGAGTCCAAAGACCTGAGTCAGAGTCTTAGCTCCTCTACTTATTGTGCGTTCTGGATGATTTGCTTAACTGCCCTAAGCCTCAGTTTACTCTTCTGTAAAATGTGAGAATCAATGCCTTCTAAGATTCCTTCCAGCTCTAACAATCTATGCATCTATAAATCTACAAATTCAGCGAAGATTAAAATCTCCTAAATCAAGGAGACTGAGGTGGTTTCTAGCCTGGCAGAATCAAATCCAAATCCAAATGGTGCTTTCAGTACTGGTAGAGAGGTGTGATTTTGCTAGGATCATGGGAATATGGAACTGTAGAGCTGGAAGAGATCTTAGACACCATCTAGTTTGGATTCAGTCAAAGGGCCACACTTGAGGACCTAGAGGGCCACATGTGGCCTTGAGGCTGCAGGTTCCCCACCCCTGATCTAGTCCAACCCCTTCATTTTATAAATGGAATCTCAGAGAAGAGAAATGACTTGCCCAAGATCATATACAGTGTCAGAATTTTGTCTTTTTCATAAGTAATTCCTTTTTTTTTCTTATTGAGGAGAAAACACCATGTTCTCTGGAGGTACTTAAGAAATGTTTGTGGACTGACTGATTGGATGAATGATTGGTTGATTGGAGGGAGAAAAAATAATCAAAATCCCTGGATGAGGATCATAAAAAAAGCAAATAAACCAATTTGGATGTTCCAAAGCTTAATTTACTCCACATCCCATTGCATGCTAATATCTGGCACAAAACAGACACCTGTCTGCTGAATGAATGAATAAAACAGCCAGAACCTGTTTTCACAATTTTGTTAGCTAGGATAGCTCAGTAATGATGACATACTTCAAAAAATGATTTTGACTCTCTTATTTATTTAAAAGGAAGAGAAATCCACTAACACTCACTGAGGTCTTACATGAACGTTGAACAGAATCCCTGAATCTTAGAGTTGGAGGGGCCAAGTATACGAATCTGCCTTGACAACCTCCCTAACTTCCAGTGATGGGGAACTTACTGCGTATTTAGGAAATACCCTCCATTGGTGGGTGGTTTTGGTTGTTAGGTAGTTCTTCCTTGGGTGGATATGAAATCTCTTTCCCTGCAACTGTACTCCACTCCTCGTAAGTCTGTGCTCTGGAACCCTGCAAAAATGTCTAATAATCCCTCTTCCATGAGAAGGCCATCAGATTTTGAAAAATTTTGATCCCGTCTTCCTCCTGCCCCTAAAGCTTCTTTCTGAGTTAAACAGGGCCAAGTTCTTCAGCTGAACTTTGTATATGTCACTTGCGAGGCATGGTTTTTGAGTACCTCCACCATTCTGCTGCCTGCCTGGGCACCTACTCTATCTTATCTCTGCCCTTCCCAAAATGGAGTGCCCAGAATCAAACACCATAGTCCAGATGTGGCCTAGCCAGGGACCATAAACTTCCTTATTCTGGAGATTATGCATATGCTAATTAACAATAATAATAGTGAACTATACAAATATATAATTACATTAATCAGTTAATAAAATTATATTAAGCCAGGTACTGTGTTAAGTACTTTTACAAATATTATCTCCTTTGACGCTCACAACAACTGTGAAAAGTAGGTGCTATCATTATTCCCATTTTAAAGATGAAGAAACTGAGACAGAGGTTAAATGACTTGCCCAGGGTCAAAAAGCTAGTGAGGGTATGAGGCCAGATTTGAACTCAGTTCTTCCTGACTCCAGGCCCAGCATTCTATCCACTGTATCACCTAGCTACCCTTACTTAATTTAGTCTAAAATGCCATGAGATTGTTTTGGGTTCCCAAGAGCCAAAATAGAAATAAATAAATAGGGTTGTTTTTTTTGTTTGTTTGTTTCTTTTAGTAAAAGTCAATGCCAACTTCTTAGCTTTGATGCCTGCAAATCAGGAAAAAACAAAATTATAAGCCAGCCCTTAACCCATTGGGAGGAACCAGGTACATCACCATTTCTTTCTTCTGACTGGCTTTCTTACTGTTCTCTTTAATCAGGTTCTGATACTGCATAATGGCTTCTTCCAGGCTTAGCTTCCCCAGTAGAATCTGGTGCTCAGTCTTAGCCAGCTTCTCCTCTAACTCTTTCTCTTGTATTTTCTTTTGACGCTCTATGAATTCTGAGAAGCCTTTGTGTCCTTGCAGGAGTTCTTCAATCCTGGGAGCAGGAGAGGAGGAATAAGAGAAAAAAAAAAAGAAATAAGAAACTACTTACTAGTCAATTAATCTGTCTGAGCCTTAGTTTCCCCATCTGTAAAATAGGGACAATTATATTTGCTGTATCACACTCACAGTATTATGAAAATTGTTAGGGGATGTTACCTGAGTAAGAATGTGACAGGGGCTAGAGTTGGTTATTTAATTAACAAGCATTCACTAAGAGTATAGAGAACACTCTCTTGGGTACTGTGGCTGTCATTATGAAACATGATTCTTGCCCTAAGGAAGTAAACACTTCAACACTAGTTGGAGAAGACATATTCTACAGCTATATATTATTACACAGAAAATATAAAGTAACATGTAAAGAAATAAAAAACAATATCATAAAATCACGGGAATTCACTGGGGAGAGAGCTGGACCCTTTTCCTTCAGGGAGAGGAGGCTCTCTCAGCTCAAGTAAATAAACACTGGTAAACTCCTGGTTACACGTGCATAATTTACCTAATGGCACTTCACAAAAATGCAGTTTTAGATGAAATGATATCATGGGGGTGGTTAGCTTTATGGTGATATTTGAGTGGTGTTTGGGGAGGAGTGAAGGAGGAATAATACCTGTGAGCATCAGGGAGGACAGGAAGAGAGTGAGGGGTGTGGTTTCATGAATATGAAGTTCTGTATTCAGAGAGAAAGCTTGACTTGAACTGCATATAGAGATGGGGCAGCTAGGTGGCCCAGTGGATAGAGCACTGGGTTGAGAATCTTCCTGAGTTCAAATCTGGCCTCAGATACTTACCAGCTCTACGACCCTAGGTAAATGATTTCACCCTGCTTGCCTCAGTTCCTCATCTGTAAAATGAGCTGGAGAAGGAAATGGCAAACCACTCCAGTATCTTTACCACCAACAATAATACCACCTGTAGGTAATAAACTTATTCTCCACATTGGCCGGCCCAAACCATGTTGGCTCAACATAATAACTGGATAAATCTAGATTTTCTCTAGAAATCTGGAAGGTTATGATGAAGAGAGTGAAGAGAAACAATTTTCCTGGGCAACCATAATTTATCCTACTAAAGAGTAAAATTAGTATTTGCAGAGACCTCAGACTTTGCTAAGCATGGGTGGGGCTGGATGGGGCTAGACTGACTTGAGTTGGGGTTCCTGGTCATACAAACAGACTCCAAGTATATCAGGAACATTACGGTCCAGAATGATCTGAGGCCCATGGTGAATGATGATGATTTAAAGCTAGGTGGTGAGTAAGAGGAAGGTCAGAAAGAGAGCGAGGGTCACTGATTAGGGATACTATGGGGACACACGGATGACACTAAAACTGGCAGAACTACACAATTCTCGGTTGTTTCCATTTTCTTCTCTTAGGAGAATGATGATTGAGCTAGGTAGAAAAAAGATGGTTAACTGGGAACTGAAATTCAAGATAATGAGATGAATCAATAACATACATTTATTAAGCACCAACCAGGTGCCAGGCACTGTGCTAAGTCCTGAGGATACAAAAAGAGGCAAAAAAAAAAAAAAACCCAGTTGCTACCCTCAAGAAGTATATAGTCTAATGGGCAAATGTGAAAGAGAGAGAGCCTAGCTACCCTCGTTAGGCAGGGGCGGTCTACATACTAGGGCATTGAAAAAAGTGTCTGATGTGATGGCTTTTTGGTATCTTTTAAATGTCCACAAAGATATCATGCCGGAACATCAAGTGCATTGATGAAATTTAGGTGAACTATACCCACAGCACTGCCCTGATCTACCAGTTGGAAAAGGAAATAAAGTTAGTTTTGTGTGTAACTGGTATTGATGAATTCATGCTGGCTCTTAGCAATCAGTCTCACTTTCTAAATGCTCACAAGCCGCTCCTTTAATAATCCACCCTAGATTTTCGCCAAGAATCAAAGTCAAACTCTCTAGCCAATAGTTTGCATGTTCTACCCTATCTCCTTTTATTTTTTTTTAAATTGGGACATTTTCCTTCTCCAGCCTTATGACACTTCTCCCATTCCCCATAATCTTTCCTAAAATGTAAGTCTGTTCATGTCCCCCTACTCAATAAACTCCAGCGACTCTCTATGACCTGCAGGAACAAATAAAAACCTCTCTGTTGGGCATCTGAAGCCTTTCACATCCTAGTTCCAACTTACATTTCCATCCTTATTCCAAATTAAGCTTCTTTATACACTCTATGGTTCACTCCTACTTGCCTTCTAATTCTTCTTCATACAGGACACTCCATTTCCTCTCTCCACGCCTTTGTACAGAATATTCCTCATGCCTAGCATGTACTTCTTCTTCCTCATCCCCACCTCTCAAGACTCCTTAGTTTCCTTCAAGGCTTAGTTCAGGCATCGTGTTTTAACTGAAGACTTCCTTCGTTTCTCCCCTCCTCCTCCCCCCCCCCCCCCCGCCCCTAGCTGAGAGTACTCTCCCCAAAATCACTTTGTATCTATTTTGTACATAATATTTGTATGTGTCGTCTCCCTCCATAGAATGTAAACTTTTTTGTTTGTTTCTTGGGTGAGGCAGTTGAGGTTAAGTGACTTGCCCAGGGTCACACTGCTAGTGAGACTTATGTGTCTGAGGCCAGATTTGAACTCGGGTCCTCCTGACTCCAGGGCCAGTACTCTATCCACTGCGCCACCTAGCTGCCCCAGAATGTAAACTTCTTGAAGACAGGGACAGATTCACTTTTGACTGGGCATCCCCAGTACCTAGCACATTGCCTGGAATATAGTAAGTGCTTAACAAATGTCTGTTGATTGACTAAGAGAGCTGTATGATTCCCCTTTTTTAAAGACAAAGGGGCAACTGGTACAAAAGGTATTTTGAACTTGCAGAAGTTGGGTTCTGAGTTTTAAGAACCTCCATTTTTTTTCAGTTCTCTTCCTTTTGTTTCTAAAGTAGCCAGGTGGCTTCTTCTTGTTTTGTGTCCCAAGTTCACTCAATGCCTCTTTGCTGTGAGTGGGGCCACTATTCAGCATTATTTGTAACAGCAGAGATTCAGAACCACCCTGATGTCCAGTCATCAGGGAATGGTTGAGCCATTTGTAGAATATTGAATACTGTGGTATATAAATTAAATGGAATCTCACTAGTCCAATGACATTTTGGGGGGGGGAGGAAGACTTATGATTTCATTAATATGGGATATCCTGATATGGTAACTCCTTTCACTGATGCCAGTCAGCAACTTGTATAGAATTTATAGTCTTGAGAGCTGCCTTTGACTTTGAGAGAGTAAATGATTTGCCCGTGGTCCCATAACTATTATACGTCAGAGTCAGGACTTGAATCCTGATCTTCCTCATTCTAAGGCCATGTTGTCTCATATTTGTCCATATAAAATCATCAAATCAACAAGTATTTTATTAATGCTTGTCTGCTATAAGCCAGTTACTATGCCAAGTGCTAGGGATACAAAGAAAGGCAAAAAGGGTCTGTGCCCACAAGGAGTTCACTATTTAATGGGAGAGATAATATGCAAACAACCATGTACAAACAAGATTACTGGATAACTTGGAGGTAATTTCAGAGGGATACATTACTAGCATTACAGGGGACCTAGAAAGGCTTTTTTGAAGAAGGCAGGATTTTAGCTGAGAAGTGAAGGGAGCCAAGGAAGCCAGGAGGTAGAAATAAGGAGGGAGAGCATACCAGGCATGGTGGACAGCCAGCAAAAATGCATGCAGTCAGGAGATGGAATGTCTTGTGTGAGAAACAATAAAGAGGTCAATAAAGATCATGGGATCATAGAGTATGCAAAGAGGAGTAAGGTGTTAAGAAGACTGGAAAGTCAAGAAGGGGCTAGGTTCTGAAGCATTTTAAAAGCCAGAGGATTTTACATCTGATCCTGGAGCTAATAAGGATCCCGGATCTCATTGAGTAGTGGGGTGATGTGGTCAGATTTCTGCTTTGGGAAGACCACTCTGATGACTGAATAGAGGATAGACTAGAACTGGGAGAAATCTGAGGCAAGGAGACCAGTCAGAAGGCTACCCTAATGGTCCAGGTGAAACTGGATAAAAGCTTGCACCAGGTGGTAGCTGTATGAGTACAGAGAAGGGATGTTCACAAGAAATGTTCGGAAGGTAGAAACGATAAGATTTGACAACAGGTTGGATTGTGGGGGTGAGTGAAAGTGAGGAGTCGAGAAGGAGGACTAAGTTGTGAACTTGGGTAACAGGGAGGTTAGTGATACTCTTGACAATAATGGGGAAGTCAGGAAGAGGGGAGGGATTGGGAGGGAACCGACAAGGAGTTCTGTTCTGACAAGTTGAGTTTAAGATGTGTACGACACACACAATTTGGGATATCCAACAGGCAACTGAAGATGTGGAAACTGGAGGTCAGGAGAGAGGGAGAAAAGAAAAAGATGCAGGATAGAGCCTTGGGTATACCCACAGTTAGTGGGTGCAAATATGAATAACAGAAAGAAAAACAGAAAGACTTATTAAAAGTGATACTAGGTGAAGAAAGCAGAATCAGTAGAACACTATATACTCTTCTTATAGAGATGTAAACAGTAACAGCTACAAAAATGAGGAAATATACAGAAAATGAGGGGCAAAAAAGAATTTGTAAATCAATAAGATGTCTGATATTACTCTGTTAAAGTCATTTTACGTATTTTTTGTTAAATAAGCTATGTCATAAAAGTCTGGTTTTATGTGGTTTATGTACTTTCTGAAAATTTATTTGAACGTTTGATTTTGTTAAGGACTGGCAAATTTGTCCTATAATAATTTTTGTTTAAAAAAATTCCAAAAAATTCCTCCCCTCCCCCCAATTAGTGTTGTCATTGATGATTGTAAACATCTCTTTTTTTGTCAACTGTTTGTATAAATTACTTAACATCTCTTCGTGACATGGAAAGACCCGATTGAAGGAAAAAAGACTTACATTGAACTTATCTGCTGGTGATTGGCTGAAGAACAAGAAAGAAGACCTTAACTTTAGAAACACAGATCTATGCTGTGTGTGTA